GGGGGGAAGAGAGAAGGAACTGGTTAATGTTTGACACCTACATCTGCACAATTGGTTTGTTTGTTTGAATAAAGAGAAGCATCATCATCATTGACTTTCTCACCCTGCACCAGGGTATAGGCCACGGACAAACACCCTCCACTTTTCTCTATCCTGGGCTAGCCTCTTGATGTTATTCCATGTCTTCCCACTTTTCTGTACATCGATGTACAAAGAGAAGCAGAATAATATAGACACAATAATGGTAAATTAACACTGAGAAAACGTAAGACAGACAGACAGAAACAGACAGCGTATGAATGGTGCCACCCTACCACAAGGAGAGTTTGCCCCCCCCCGGCGCATTAGACTGGGGTCTGTGGTGCAGTGGAAAGGCACTTCACTGTAACACACACAAGACCGGGGATCAATTTCGTGAGTGGAGAGACTTTTTATAGAGTACCTTGGGCCTTTCTGGTGGGATGTTGTATCCCTCTCAGCCTGGGTTGACCCCAACAGGCAGGGTCAAAAGCCCGTCTCCTAAATGATCTAAAATTGTGCCGATGGGGAGTAAAAGCACCTGCATAAAAAAATTTAAAGCGTTGATTTTACCCCCCCTCCCAGCCAACTTCGGGGGGCGATAAGATACATAAACTTCAGTTTGGTAATTGTTTTACAGCGATTGCACATACATAAAGTCACATGTCACATATAGGTGAACTATGGAAGTGAGGCACCCACATAAGATCACATGTCACATATAGGTGAACTATGGATGTTTTACAGGTCTTACATAAGATCACATGTCACATATAGGTGAACTATGGACGTTTTACAGGTCCTACAAAAGATCACATGTCACATATACGTGAACTATGAATGTGAAGCACCTACAAAAGATCACATGTCACATATACGTGAACTATGGATGCACTCACCGTCTTGTAGTTGTAGGCCAGGGCAATGATGAGGGCCACCACGGGCAGGATGAGGTACGAGCCTTGGTTCAAATCCTGGTCCACCGAGCGCAACTGTCCACCAGGAAGAAAATGGTGAGGTTTCAAGTTCAAGTTAAGTTGCATCAAGAGAAATGGTGAAATGGTATAGGTTAGTTTAATGCCGTATCAACACTATTATGTTTCTTACGAGGCGGTAGCATAAAGAGAAATGGTGAAATGGTATAGGCTTATGCCCCTATGGTTGCATTATAAAGAGAAAAGGTGAAAAGGCATAGGCTTAAAGCCCCTATAGGTTGCATTATAAAGAGAAAAGGTGAAAAGGTATAGGCTTTTAACGCCCCTATGGTAGCATAAAGAGAAGCAGAGCGACACGACAACAAGAATCCAGTGCTAGGGAACGAGAACAATCAACCAGACAGAAGCAAAAGGAGAATAGCAAGAAGAAAAAAAAAAAAAGTTAGTAAGTGGGAAGAAAAATATAAGCAAACTGAGTATTGCAACGTTTAAAACCCTTAACAAAACATGATCGGAAATACTCTACACAGCGACAAAGCACAGCTGATTAAAACCTGTAAATTCTTTGCCATATCGACAGACCGAAGGGCTAGAACCCAAAT